ATAGCTTAATGCAGCGTGCTGAGATGAGCCATCAGGCCAGACCATCAGAGTGGTAGATGTAGCCCACACTAGTCTACCTTTCCTGAACTGAGCATTGATATTATGACATTAGATTGCATTGACTGGGCTTATAAGAACCAGCACCTACTGCCCCAACTCTATAGTTTTTTTTATTGTAGATCGTGGAGACATATTTAAGGACATAGTACACTTTCCATGCTGCGTAATTCCTTTTTAAGGATCCACGGTAATTAGCCAACAAATATTTATTGAATGCTTATATGCCAGATAGGGTGCTAGGATTAGGAAAAAAGCAGTGAACAAAGAAATCACATGAATGAGTCTTACAATACAAAGAAGAGAAATTATTTTCTTAGTTCTCTATGTCAGGCAAAGCTGTCAATCTCCTGAGCAACTTTCCTTCTTTACAATGCCTACTAGGAAGCTCAGAGCCAATTTTTGGACTCACCTCTCGCAATTGCACAGGACCTCATGAAATGAATTGTTGTACAGACCATACCCCTGGCTTCATGTTATTTTCCCCTTTGATCATTTTTCTTGTGTTTATCTCTGTGGGCTACCTCACATTCCTGCTATTTTTTTTGAATGGGAGGTTATAATTAAATAATAATAAAAGAGCCCAGCAGATCAGGGGTTATGAGTGAGCAACCCAATCAGTGTTAGTGTGAGATAATGAGAAATATACATATATTGGTCTCTGTCCTTGGTTCCCGGCACAGGACTCCTAAAACCCTTGCAATTTCCTAAGTGATAAGAGTACTAGGAGCATCTTTTGTCCTAATGAGGTGACTCTGGGTGGGCTTCTGAGTGGCTCCTGGATAAGGGCTGGTCACCAGAAGGACAAGCTGTATTAGAAACTTAGAATTCTCAGCCCCAGCCCCCATCTTCCAGCGAGGGAAATGGAGTTAATCATTGGTCATGACAACATGAGAAGCCTCCATACATTCCAACAGGAGGGGGTTCAAAGAACTCCTCGCCGGTGAACACGTGTTGGTACCGGGAGAGTGGTAAGCCCAGAGAGGGTGTGCAAGCTCCGTGCCCCTTCCCACATACCTTGCCCTGTGCATCTCTTCCATCTGGCTGTTCACCCATATACTTTATCGTATCCTTTTACGATAAACTGATAAACGTAAGTAAACTTCTCCTGAGTTCTGTGATCCGTTCTAGCAAATTAAGTGAACCCGAGGAGGGGGGTCGTGGGAAACCTCTCACTTAGGACCGATTGGTCAGAATCCCAGGTGGCAATCTGGATTTGCGATTGGCATCAGAAGTGGGGGGTAGTCGAGTGGGACTGAGCCCTTAACCTCTGGGATCTGACACTATCTCCAGGCAAAGAGTGTCAGAATTGAGTAAAGTTGCTGGACACCCAGCGGGTGCCACAGAATTGCTTGGTGTTGGGGAAAGAATCCACACTTTTGGTGACCTGGAGTGTCAGAAGTGAAGTGAGTAGCAGAGTGTTCTGTGGAGGAGAAAGACACAGGTGGGAACCTGTGGGTTCTTCTCATCCAGCTGGTGATAAATAAGGCCAGGGAGAGGTGTGAGCGGTGAGGTCACTGGTGCTGTTGTAGAGGCTGGGCTGGAGTTCCTCAGGATGACTGGTGGCTACGTACTAGAATTTGAAGGTGGGAACTCAAAAGAGTTCCTTCACAGCCGTCAGATGATTCAGGTTATTTTCTTTTTTGACAGTTAAGGCAAGCCCCTCTTCCCCCCCACCCCAAACTTGGACCATTTCATTTCAGCTTTTAAACTCAATTAAGCAGAGCGGTTACCTCTGGAGGTTCGTGGGCTCTGTAGTGGGTTCATGAGTATTCATTATATTATTTAAAATCATATAAAAAAGAAAAGAGCCACCCTCGGACTAATGACAACAGTGTGATTTAAATCAAGGATAATGATTAATCCAATTCTGTGTACTCAAGTTCCCCTGACAGTGCATATTCGCTGAAACGATGACTGACTGAATCTATCTTGGTGCCCGGGGGGGAGGGGGGCAGGCGTTCCCCAGAGGGGAATCTTGTGGGTCCACAGTGACACAGATAGGCCTGGATGGAAACTGGCCGGGTAACCCAGCCTTACATCTTCTCTCGACAGACTATGGAGGAAGGTCTGGGAAGATCTCTCTGCCACATCCCACAGGCTGGGCCCTGTGCCTACAGCACCTCAGAACGTTTGGCCTCCTATCTGTCCAGGATTAGGTAAATGCCACAGCAAGTTTCCAACAGCAGTTTCCTTTCCACAGCCCAGACCGCAGGGGATGGACTGAGGAGCCTCGTGGAAAAGACTCTGAATTGCAATACACTCAACAGTGAGCTGAAATTAAGGACAGCCCTGTGGCCTGACTCCTCTGACAACGAAATTATGCGACTTCTTATAGGTCTGGGTCATTGCTATGCTAACGGGATAAGTGGCTTAAAATGAAAGGACATCCTGAACCCACGTGGGAAGACAGGCATTATCAAGTCTTTGGGTGTCATTAGTTGTGACGAAGGCTGGAATTAACCATGACACTGTGCAAAACGGTTTAAACATTTGCAAGCAAGGAGAGGGTGGAGATGCTGGAACCTGTAAATTGATACCAGCTGAGCATTCACTGGGGGGGGGGGGTGTCCAGCAAATGGATTTACTATTTTGCCAACTTCAGGAAAGTGTTACAGAATGGCAGACAAAACTGTTTATATGCAAACAATTGTTTAGAAAAGGGTCCTTACAGCAAATAACTGCAATTCAGGGGCTTTCTGAGTAACCACAAAGCCAGGGACTAAATTTTAAATATTCGACATTATTTTTCTTGGAACCAGGCTGAATACCGACGTCGAGGTTTTCTTGCCTCCCTAACTCCCTCTCTTCCACCAGTCTTTTAATGTGTCAATATCACTTCAGTTTCGTGGGGAAAGGGTAGAGGGAAAAAGGGAGAGGGGTAGAGACAGTAGGGGGAAGGGCAGTGGGTGGGCCCAGAAATGGAGAGATGGGAAGTCACTCCATTAAACTATCATCTTCGTCTGTAAACAGGGATTAAAAACGTCTGTCTGTCCTGACACGCTCCCAGGGGAAATGCCATGCTGCTTGAGAAAGCTGTGAATAAAATTCGATCTCTACTCTCCCTCCAGTTGCACAAAATCTGTCCCAGAAACGTCTCACCCTTACATTTTATCAGAACCACGGGAGGGGGGGGAAATATTATCTGAACTCTACCCGTGGCATTATGGATTTTTCTGGAAAACGAGGCTAGGTCAAGTTCTTGGAACATATTTCTACCCTGAAAACTCATATGAATTAAGTCACTTTCTAAGACTCCTTGCACCCCAAAGATTCGTACTTCAGTAAGACTCACTGAAGAATAATGGCGCAAACAACATTTTTTAATTTAGAAGAATCTTGCTGAGAAAGGCTGCCCCAAGTAGTACAAATATAAATTCGCAGTAACTTTGTCAAATTTCTAAAAACTCCATCAGGACAGGAGGCTGCAAAACGTCTCCAGGAGATCAGTCTGTTACCAGCGGCCCGTGAGCTTCAAGACCGGTCGCAGTTCGTAGCGATTCAGCCCAGGATTCAAGTGGGGTTTAATCGTCTGGGCGTCTACCTCCCCATCACCGTTCAATTACTGGAGGCTATTATAATTGTCCCCATTTTGTGGATGAAATTGAGCTACGGCTTAGTCTCTTTTGGTGAGAGACTGAGAGAGAAAGAGAGAGGAGGAGGGGAGGGAGGGAGGCAGGGAGGGAGGGAGGGCTGTTTCTCATTATCCTAAAAAAAAAAGTACTTAAACCTTAACTTAAAAAATGATCTACTTCCAAAAACTGCGTTTCCTTTAGGGTGAAATCGTTTGATCTCATCTCTAACACCAAGGAGCAAAACAAGTATTTTACTGTAAATTGGAACAAAGAGTTACCCCCGACCCCCATCACCCCAATTCCTGAGGACGTCAGTCACAGCGGACGCGTCATTACGATCGGAGGTGGGGAGAGCGTCTGCTGGGGGCTAATAAAACCGAAGAGGCCCTCTCCATAGGTGGAGTAGAGCGGGGAGAAGACGCCCCGCTGGCACACACCTCCGGAAAACTGAAGCTTCTTCTTTGACCCAGGGGTCAGAAAGATTTATTACTTCCTCGGTGAGGGAGAAGCCTCAGGCCAGCTGGAAGGGACGAGCCGGGAGTGGGGAGCCTGAGAGCCGCGCTCGGCCTCCTCGGAGCGCTCCGGGGCGCGGGTGCGTCCTCGGTCCCCGGAGAAGCCCGGGGGTGCCGACCCCGGGGGGAGAGCGGAGTGGGAGGCCGCTGGGGGATTTCTGCCCAAACTTTATCACCAACTCTTTCCGAGAGCAAAACTGTGCGGTTGAGCACGGTAGCGGCACGGAGAATCCAAGTTTCCCAGAGGTCGGGACGCCCGAGCGCTCCGAACCCCGCGTCCGTACCCTGGCGCTTGGCGCACGGATTGCTACGGCCTACGCCGCGCGGACGGCGGCCCAAGCGGCGCCGCTGTAAATCGGAACCCGCATCTCCAACCCCCAAGGTGGCGGCGGCGGGAGCTGGTCGCTGCAAGGGGGGCGGGCGCGGGACGCGCGGAGGAGGAGGGCAGCGCGCCGAAGGGGAGGAGCCGCAGCGACAGACGGCGGCGCGCACCAACCCGGTGCCGGCTGGCAGGAGCCGCGCAGAGGCTGGCCGGAGCGCGTTGCAGCCGCTCCGCGTAGGGAGAGTCGGGTAGCAGCATCCTCCCCGGCGCCGGCTTTCGCGCGGCGGCTGCGGCGGCGGCGGCGGGGTTTTCTCTGCCCCGGTGCCTCGTTGACCCGAAGAGGCTGGTGCTGCGGAGGAGGCGGGCAAGGGAGCGCTGCGGACCCCGGCTCCTTTGCCTAGAGCTGTGTGTGTGAGTGTAGGGGGTTTCCGGGCCAGTCGGAGGCTGAGGAGCGGCGGGGGCTGCCGGCAATGCCCGCCCGGGCATCCTTCGGGTGATGGAAGAAGCAGCTGCTGCCGCCGCCGCTGCAGAGTCGCGCTGCGCCCCATCTACCACCGCCAGAGAGATGGGAAGATTCGGGGCGCGGAGGCCGAGAGCAAGAGAGGTGGAGCCGCTTTGCCGGGAGCTGGGTCCCGTATAAGCCCCCTCCCCCTCCCCTCCCTCGGCCAGCTTCACCCCACCAGAGCGAGGAAGGAAGCTACAGTCCCGAGAGGGCGGCGGAGACGCCGATGGAGCCGGGCGCACTGGACTCAGCGAAGCGCAGAGCAGGGCTTCGGGCCCGGTGAAAGTTTCCCTTCCCCAGCCGCAGGGCGCCCGCTGCCCGCAAACTCTGCCCAGGGCTTGGGCTGCCAAGTCCCTCGGCCCCCTCGGAGGCGCGCGGACCCCGGGCGGAAAACAGCGCTCGAGAAGGCGGGGAACGAGTGACAGCAGGACTGACCGCCGGGCCGTGCTCCCGGGCCGCTCCGGGGAGCGCCCGCGGCTCCAGGTTAGCGGGGTAGCCAGGCAGACTCGAGGGTGGGCGTTAATTAGGGGGAGGAGGATTGGGACGCACGAGCTTACTCCGCTTCCCCTCGCAGGTCCTTCTCAGAGCCGCTGCCATGGGAGAGCCAACCCTGGGCGCCGGGGACCAGCCGCCGCTGCTGCCGCGCCCGCCTCGGAGTCGCGGCCCAAGTCCCAGCGCCCGAATCCGGGCCGCTGCGTCCTCCTCCCGGGTTGCAGGGCCGCCTCCGCCGCGCTGCCGGCCCGGGTTGTGCCTGTGATGAGCCGCAGCCCGCCGCGAGCCCTGCCCGCGGGCGCGCCCCCCCGGTTGCTCGCGGCCGCGCCTGCCGCCGGGCCGCGCGCCTTGCTCCCGCCGTGGCCCCGGCGCCCGGGTCGCCGCTGGCCCGCGTCCCCGCTCGGAATGAAGGTGTTCCGCAGGAAGGCGCTGGTGCTGTGCGCGGGCTACGCGCTGCTGCTGGTGCTCACCATGCTCAACCTCCTGGACTACAAGTGGCACAAGGAGCCGTTGCAGCAGTGCAGCCCCGACGGGCCGCTCGGTGCCGCGGCGGGGGCGGCTGGGGGCGGCTGGGGGCATCCGGGGCCTCCTCCGGCCGTGCAGCCCCGCGCACACACCCGCTTGGACCCCCGTACCCCATACCGCTCTCCCGTCGCCCCCGTCCGGGCGGCTCCGGCAGCTGGGGCGGGGGCGGCGGGGGCTGCAGCCCCTCCGGGTAATGGCACTCGGGGCACCGGGGATGGCGGGGACAAGAGGCAGTTGGTGTACGTGTTCACCACGTGGCGCTCGGGCTCGTCCTTCTTCGGCGAGCTTTTCAACCAGAACCCCGAAGTGTTCTTCCTCTATGAGCCAGTGTGGCACGTGTGGCAAAAACTGTACCCAGGGGACGCCGTTTCCCTGCAAGGGGCGGCACGGGACATGCTGAGCGCTCTCTACCGCTGCGACCTCTCTGTCTTCCAGCTGTACAGTCCCGCTGGCAGCGGGGGGCGCAACCTCACCACGCTGGGCATTTTCGGCGCGGCCACCAACAAGGTGGTGTGCTCGTCGCCACTTTGCCCCGCCTACCGCAAGGAGGTCGTTGGACTGGTAGACGATCGCGTGTGCAAGAAGTGCCCACCGCAGCGCCTGGCGCGCTTCGAGGAGGAGTGCCGCAAGTACCGCACTCTGGTCATCAAGGGCGTGCGTGTCTTCGACGTGGCCGTGTTGGCGCCACTTCTGCGCGACCCGGCCCTGGACCTCAAGGTCATTCACCTGGTGCGGGATCCCCGCGCTGTGGCCAGTTCACGCATCCGCTCGCGCCATGGTCTCATCCGTGAAAGCCTGCAGGTGGTGCGCAGCCGGGACCCCCGAGCGCACCGCATGCCCTTCCTGGAGGCCGCTGGCCATAAGCTGGGCGCCAAGAAGGAGAGCATGGGTGGGCCTGCAGACTACCACGCCCTTGGCGCCATGGAGGTCATCTGCCACAGCATGGCCAAGACGCTGCAGACGGCCCTGCAGCCCCCTGACTGGCTGCAAGGCCACTACCTGGTGGTGCGGTACGAGGACCTGGTGGGAGACCCCGTCAAGACCCTACGGAGGGTGTATGACTTTGTGGGGCTATTGGTGAGCCCTGAAATGGAGCAGTTTGCCCTCAACATGACCAGTGGCTCAGGCTCCTCCTCCAAGCCTTTCGTGGTGTCAGCGCGCAACGCCACGCAGGCCGCCAATGCCTGGCGGACCGCCCTCACCTTCCAGCAGATCAAACAGGTGGAGGAGTTTTGCTACCAGCCCATGGCCGTGCTGGGCTACGAGCGGGTCAGTAGCCCTGAAGAGGTCAGAGACCTCAGCAAGACCCTGCTCCGGAAACCCCGGCTCTGAGACGGGTTCCCGGGAGACCAGACTCCCTGTGGTGACACCCACAGAAGGATTGTGGTGTGTTTCAACAAAAACAGCCCAGATCCAAACTGAGGAAGCCCACACATTCTGTTATAGATACATAATATAAATAACCACACAGGCACTTGCTGTCAGTGTTTTGAGTCATTGAATTTCAAGGAACAGCCACAATACACACACATCTCAGAAAAGGCAAGGCTTGAAAGTTCTGACCCGCCGCCCTTCCTCTTCTCTCCCCTGCCTTTTCTCCCTTTTCCTACCCTCTCCCCTACCTGCCTTCCATTTTGAAGTGGGATGTTGATTAAATCAAGATCCAGTAACCCAAATCTTGTTTCCAAAATTTTCGTGGTATCTGTGAACACGTAGAAGAGTCATTTGGATGTCGGGGGTAGGGTGGGAGGTGTGGGAGGGTGGAGAAAGGGGAAGTGGTTCAGGAGCAAAAGCCCCACTGGGCACGCTAAACCAAGGAGGCATTCTTCTAAGTAGACTTTTGTGTAAAAAGCAAAGGTTATATGTGAGTATTAATAAAGAAAATAATAAATAATATTCTTTTTTATATTTGCCTCCATTACTTTGGATTCGCCTGTGTTCCTTGTCCTGTGCAGCTTCAGACAGAATCTGCTTCTCCTCCCCCCACCCCCTTTTCCTGTCTGTTTCCTAGAAGACAGCTAAGATGGGTGGGAGCAGCTTCAGACTCCTTGATAAGAGCCTTGGAGTTGTGTTCTCCCATGTAAATCACAGCCTGTCAGGTGCCCAGGAATGGGGACAAATCTTCAGATTCTAAAGGCAAAAACCAAGCAGGGCAGTGGAGGAAAAAGCACAGCGCTACTTTCCTGTTCCACTTGGAGCACAGAGAGGAAGAAGCAACCCCTTGAGGATCTGCAGGCATTCGGTTTTGATTACTCTTGAGTTAACACTGGGAAACCTTGAAGCAGAGCCCAGTGTTTTGGTCCTGAGGTTAGTTCAGAAAAAGGATTTTTTAAAAAAGAGAAGTATGTAGTTCAAAAAACTTCTGATGCTAAGAACACAAACCTCAAAAATTAGTGTGAACGTTTTGTTGGCAACGGTAGCAAGTTCTTTGGTTAGAAAAGTGACAGAAGTATTTGAGTTTGGAGCGTTTTTCTGCCTCTGACACAGTCCACGGAGGCATATGAAAAGGGAAGTTTGATCTGGGAACTGTAAGGGCACCCACAGGTTATCCCCCTTATTCCTGGCTGCCCACCCAAATTAGTGCAAAAGAGAATGTGAATTTATAATGGTTTACTTAGGTTGCTTGTGGGGGTACATTGCTTTTCTTTTTATGTTTTCTGAAAGTAAAAAATTGCAAAGAAGCTACGTGTTGCTGACAGTATAAGTCTTCAACCAAGAACTTCTTTTAGATATGAAAATAAATTATGGGAAAGAGGAAATGAAAATGAATATGAGTTTGTATGTTGGATTTTGAGATTTGGTATTTTCCAGGGAAAAAACCATTGCAGTTTTCCTGTAGTGGTAATGGTGTTGCTGCTGTCCTGAACCCATTTGTACTGAAGCGTTCTGCAGAATGTTGTGTTATGATAAGAAGTTACGAAGCTAAATAGGAGCAAGAGAGTGTAGTTGTATATTACATTAAATATGATACAAGTTCAAGTTCATCATAATTTTATTTTACTGTAATTTATTGTGAGATTTGTGCAAGCCAATCTGTATAGGTTAAATGCTGAGGATTTCATTTTAAGGCAAATATAATGAAAAGGAATATGTACATGGGAAATACTTTAAGTATAATTTTTATTACAATGTGAAATCTAACTACACTTAAGAATTCCGAGAGTTTAAAAGCACAGAGGTTAAAAAAAGGGATGTATTTAGCAGTGGATTTTATAACACATTCTGGAATGGTTATTTCTTAATTTACTAACATTGTTTATAGTAATTGTGTTGATTAATCCAGATTACAGCTATAACACGTTGATCATGGTTTCTATGATATTTTCATGGTAGCGCCTATGCTGAATTCAGCAGCAGTAGAATATTTGTAACAACTTTAATTTAAGAATATTTCAAAGTAAATGAACAAAGTAAATATTAATGTTGGATGACTAGAGATGAAACAGGTTTAGCGGGAAATTAAGGCAGCATCATTAAAAGGCAACCACTCTGAATTAAAGAACCATTTGAAAACAAATTTCATGTGGCAATAGAATCAACTCGTTTCACTTAATCACAGTAAAATTCACGCTTAGCGTTTGAGTGAAGGATTTTTAGGCAGTTGAATTCATTCTTCTCTCTGGATAGCTAAGGACTTTGATTGCATTAAAGTGGAATCACGATGTTTTTGGATCTTGTATTTAAAAAATGTGAGATGCCACGTAGAGGCTTTGTAGCCTGCAGCACATTCACGGTCTCTGCTCCAATGAAATTTTAAGCTAAACGCCAACAGTTCTCCCCTTGCTGTGTTTGAACGAGGTTTCCGCCCATAATATCCTTGTTTTGTAGCAGCTGCCCTCTCTCCACTCTGCCACTCCTGGGCTCGGGAATTTGACAGGGTGAATTGTTGCTCCTGGAGATTTGTACCTCGCTGCATTCTAGGAAAGCGAGACAGGTGTAGTTCCCACAAACAGCCGAGATCGTCATATCAGTGACTTTCTCCTTCTACAAGTCTGAGAAGGAGAGAAGCAATTTTGGGTGTTAATTAGCTTCTGTCAGCCCCTGGAGCACGCAGACTTGTGCCACAACAATTTGTGACAGAGCCTGTGACCATTTCTGAAGCAGCAAATGTGAAGGAGTTCCTTTCACCGTTCCCAACTTGGCAATATGGCCATCAGCAGGAGGACATATTCTTTAGAGCAGGTTATCAGTGATTTTTATTTTCAAATTCTGCTTGACTGATAGCATGCCTGATTTACCCCATTGACTTTGGAATCCCTTTGTTAATTAGAAAGCTCTGTTTGTAAAACAAAGTCGACTCAGTGCATTTAGCCAACAAATATGAATTTGGAACAAGGGCAGCAGCTCAGGCTGGGTGCTTGAGTTTCAGGGAGCTCAGGGGCACTCAAAGGCCTCATTCAGACTGACCCGTGGGTACCCTGTGGGCGGGCATGGGGGCAAATCCTGTACCCTTCAGTGTCTACTACACAGTGGGTACTTGATAACTATTTATTAAGTGAGTGAAATATGTAACTATCCAATTTTGAAAGTGCTCAGAAGGGAAAGAGTGGCAAAACGAGTTACCTGTTTGGAGAAAGTGCCAGGCTGTTCTTCAAAGTTTGCCGAAGAGAATGGGCCTTAGGCTCTACTTAGATGTGGGGCATAGGCACTAGGAACACCTTCAAGATTTCCAGGAGGATCTGTGTTTAGTTCAATATTTCCCGCTGATGAATTAGAATTTCTGAACATGGAGAGGTAGAAGTCTCCAAATGAGGAATTCTATTTTTATTATTTGTTTTTCCAACGGCATGAACAAGATAAAAGGCAGGGATCAGAACATGCCGGCAGAATAAATGCTGCCCTGGTACCTAAGGGGTGTTTTCATGATTGCAGAAGCCTGTGATATTTATTTATGGTTTGGAGTGCTGTGAATTTCACCCAGGCAGAGAAGGGTTACTTGCAGGAAGTGAGTCCTATTGTGGATAGTGGACGAGACAATGGCTGCCTGTCCCCACGCATCCCCTGCCTGGCCGTGGCCCGTTCTGTCCAGGATTGCTGTTGCACACTGGAGAGTTTGAAATTACTGTGAATCTGAGTGAGGCCGTTAAATGAATATTCCCTCGGTCTGAACAATGAAATAAACATCGTGTTGGAAGCCCAGTCTCTGGAGATGACTTCAGAAAGACTAAGAGGGAAGTAAAAAGGCGTGTCTTATCTGTAGTCGTGAATAAAGATGAGGTGTCACTTTACCACCCTCCCCCAACCTCCTTCCCTTCCCTCTCTACACACAGCACACATGCCCGCCTGCACATACAAGTGTGTTTGTGCACTGTCTTGAGGTCTGGAAGAGAGAATGCTTTTATACCAGCTAATGGGTGTGTGGGGAGGGACACTTTTTGATCGCAGGCCTCTGAGAACTCGTGGGTGATGATTCTATCAGAACCAGTGACAGTTCCGTGTCAGGATCCAGTGTGGACAGGTAGAAAATGACCGTTGCAATCTGCAGAATGGCTTGAGGTAGGTGATGGGATGTCCCAAGGTAAATGCACAGCTTATAGACCCCTTTTGTCACTCACCTTGAGAAGGACCCTTTCAAATCTGTCACGGCTAAGAACACAGTTGGTTTCCATACCTTCCCTTCTTTCTGGCAATCCAGCTGCTACTTTTGCAGTTCAAGTACAAGCCACTGAGCTGCTTGGGTATGGGCTCTGGTACAAGTGTTTGATAATTGAAATTACAGGGCTTGACTTTTATTACATCTGATACAATTCTGCACACCCTTCATCAAATTATGCTAAGGAAATGGTTCAATTCTGAATAACACATTAAGTTTGTAGAATGGGAAACTTTATGAACCAGTGTTGGGGGTGGTATTGTTTATAAACTTGAAGGAGCCTTGAAGAAATAGGGCCTGTCTGTATACCTGGCAGGATGAGAGAGGATGGCCAAGGCCGAAGCTTAACTTTTGACCAAGCCAGTTATTTGTAATCAGACATCAAATGTGTTCTGGGGCTGTTTGAACTTTCAGGTTGGTGACAGTCACCCTGCCAAGTAAATGACTGTGAAAATGATCACTGGAACCAAAAGCTATACTCAGAACCATTCAGTAATGGCTCCCATCCTGAGTGTGTAGACAGGGCTTGATAGAAATTCACCTTGAGGCAGTGAATCCTCGAGACAGGACCAGCTACATAATTTGTGGGGCTCCGTGCAAAATGAAAAGGCAGGGCCTCCCGTTCAAAAATTCTTAAGCATTTCAATTCTGCAGTAGCAGAGGATTAAATCAAGCATGGGCCCTTCTGAGTGTAGGGCCCACAAACTGTACAGGTATTTACCGTGAAGCCAGTCCTGCATCCAGATACAGAGACGAAATGCTTAATTATAGGAGAGAATAAATAACAGTGGCCTACAATTTCTTGGAAAGTGGCTGCAGGGTATCGTGTGTAACTAGAATTAAAGCACAGACATCCTAGCGAGACAAGTGCACTCTGCATGATGGAGTTCTAAGGAGGTGAGTGTGCACATGACAAATAATCCTTGATGACTGTAGCAAGTGATTGACAAGGCCCTCTGAGTCATCAGTTGGGCTTGAGACAACTTGGGACCAATCCTGTTCAGGATGGATATTGCTTTATTAACTTCTGGTCCTGATTTTTCTTCCCTTGTAGCTAACTTGTTGATTCTTTTTGTTTGTTTTATTTTGTTTTCTTCCTGTCTTCCAGAATTCTTTTTATGAAATATTAAAATTTCAAACTACCACAAGAACTAGTCTCTTTATGTTAATTTTGTCTAGTATTCATCAAGCCCATTTGATCTGAGTATTTACTTCTTAAGTTCAAGAAGTTATTTTCTATAACTTTATATAAATATAAATGTATAAATATATATAAGCATAAATAAATAAATAAATAAATAAATATATAGC